ATTGGTCGAGGAAGGTCTTTGTTGTTATATCGCTGGGGGTGGCAAAGGGCTTGGCATGAAGTGAATGAAGACAGCAAAGGTACAAATACATGTAAACCAGGAGCTGAGGTGTCAGACACTTGTGAGTGACATTCTGAGAGAGGACAAGAGACCAACGGGAAGAAATGCAACTGAATCTAAGGTAAGTGGGACTGCATTAAGGACAGCATTACATGGGACCAGAAATTCCTCCTGCTTTTGTTATCCGACTAAATTTTAGGACGGGAAAAGATCTTTTTGGTTTTGAATGTGGAAAGCAGAGCTGCAGATGCAGAAGAATGTTATTGTCTTCATGGGACCACATTTGCAACCAACAGTGCATTCGTCAGCAGTACGCTGAGACTGTCAATTGCATCTCGACGTTTTCTCCATGTCGAGCTTTGCATGTGCTTCAAAGTGATTCGGGGTCACGACCTCGCAACCTCGTACAGTTGGAAAACAACGCAGCACCTCGAGGAACAGGTGTGTGGCAGAGCCTTTAGTCTTTGATGCAACTCTCCTTCATGGAAAGGCTGGTTCTGTTCAAAATGGCTTCCAGACAAATACGAAAGCAGGAGCCAAGATGTAAACCGGCTCCAGATGGCAGCTGAGAAAAATGTAGTTTGGGAAAGTGGGGTGTGACCAGAGGGGAGGGAGATAGCACAGTTGCCTGGGTTGTTTTTCCATCCTGGCTGTTTAATACTTTGTCTAAACGTGTTTCCTGGTTCACTTTGACTTCCTTCCTTTGTTAATCCTATCTTATCTTTCATTGTAGAAATGTACTATTCTCTGTAGCACCAAGAAAATATTTTTGTTTGTGTCACGCATTCTTTTTGAATGCCCATAGGCACACCGTTTGTGTATGTCTCATGTGTTTGTGCACATGTAAGTGTGCACGTGTAAGTGTGGATGGGTTTTGTTAACATAAAAGGAAAAATGTGTGTATTAGAATTTCTATTACCAGTTATACTATACATAAAAAGGCGAAATGCATGAGTTGAACTTGATCAAACATTTCAAGAAATCCTCAACGTCAATGTAAAAAAAGTCCTAGTCCTTCAGGTGGACCTATTCAGATGTCATGGCTTAAAAATCAAATGGTTGGCCATGTCAAAAAAATGGCTATCCAGCCAAGTCTTAATGCCATTAAAGTTGGCCCCGGCTGTGTCTCCCGTCTTAAAGAGGTGCTTACCTATCATTCACAGACCCAAGCAGGCTGTGGCAACTCCAGTGCATCCATTGTTGATTTACAATTTTGGCTCCTAGGGTCTGGCTCCTTTTAATGTAGAATGCTTGGCTTGAACCGTCGGCTTTGTGAACTAGAATTCCCTGCTGTGTTTGTGTAATTACCTTAGAGGCCAGCAGAATTACACAATTACATTGTGTTTGTCTGCATATTGACGTCAACCCTACCGTCATACTTTTCCGATAACAAGCACAATATAGGCAGGCAAATAGAAACTGGATTGGTCACTGCAATGTAAACGTAATTCATCAAAGTCCTCAATAGCTTGTCAACTAAAATACTTGACCTGACCTCGTTACCTTGGTGATCTAGAGCTGACGCTAAAGTCTATTATGTCAATTCCTGTCCATATGTTTCCCCCATAGGTCGAACAGGACAATGTCTCTCCTCTTGGGCCTCGTCTCTGCCTTCTGTCTCCTGGGAGCAGCTCTGAGTCAGGACATGCCATACGAGGACTTCATGGCCCAGATCCAGGCTTGCCCTCGCGAATGCCACTGCCCACACAACTTCCCCAGCGCCGTCTACTGCGACAACAGAGAGCTCAAGCGCATCCCCAAGATCCCCCCGCACACGCTGTACCTCTACCTGCAGAACAACCTCCTCGAAGCACTCTCGAAGGAGGCCCTGAGCAATGCCACGCAACTGCGCTGGGTGAACCTCAACCGCAACCGAATCACCAATGAGGGCCTGGAAGAGGGAGCTCTGGGGGCGATGGCACAGCTGTCGCAGCTCTACATGGACGACAACCTCCTGACCTCGGTGCCAGCCGGCCTGCCGCACAGCCTCGAGCAGCTCCAGCTCTCCCGCAACCGAATCTCCACGATCCCCGCGGGGGTCTTCTCGGGAATGGATCAGCTCAACCTGCTGGACCTCCAGGGGAACAAGTTGATGGATGACGCTGTGACGGAAGTGAGCTTCAAGGGTCTCAGCGGCCTGGTGCAGATAAACCTGGCCAAGAACCAACTGAGCAGTATGCCAGTGGGCCTGCCTCCCACCACCATGCAGCTGTTTCTGGACGGCAACAACATTGAGAGGATCCCGTTGGATTACTTCAAAGGCTTGCCCAAGGTGGCATTCCTCAGGCTCAACCACAACAAGCTGAGCAACAGCGGAGTTCCCAGGAACGTCTTCAACATCTCCAGCATCTTGGAGCTGCAGCTGTCCCACAACCAGCTGACTGAGGTGCCCTTCATCTCCCCGGGACTGGAGCACCTGCACCTGGACCACAACCGGATAAAGAGTACGTTTGGGATTCACTTGCCTGATGATGCTTAGTTTTTTTTTCAGATCTGTTCCGTTTCATATCTTGATGTCTGACTATTGATTTGGGAAAACTGGTATATATATATATATATATATATATATATATATATATATATATATATATATATACATACATCTGGGTATTCTTTATTAGATGATACATGATACTTGGACATGTGTGTATATTCACTTTGATAGATTGACGTGTCAATTGATTGACTGTTGTTGCTTCGCTTTTTTAAGATAAGATTATACTTTATTGATACCAGACAGTTCGGGATTCAAAGTATGGTTAAAGCATCATAAAATGGACATTTATTTGTGTTTTCTTTTCTTTCCATTCCCAGGTGTGAACGGCTCTGATATGTGCCCAGTGTCAGCGAAAGCCTTGGAGGATTATGCCAACGATAACGCTCCCAAGTTGCGCTTCCTGCGTCTGGATGGCAACGACATTCCCCCACCGATTCCCAGAGACGTCGTAACATGTTTTCGTCTCCTCAGGTCCATTGTCATCTAAAAGAAAACTTGTCGTCCAAAAGAAACGTCCAAACCGGATATAACCAGATGTTTAGCTATGGTTATATATAACTTTAAACTAGATCTTTGAGGCCAAAACATGTTGATGCAAACTGGTCCGAGGTGTCAGTGATCAGGTATAGTTGTATTTTCTATTTCCACTTTATTTTTGTATCCGTCATTTTCTTTGTCTAACTTCAGAATCAATAAATGATGTTGCCTGACTGACACAATCTTTCAGAAATACTGTAGTACTGAAAATCTGTTGCGTACCACTGTACCTTGCATCTTGTATTGGCGTTAGTGCTAGATCGTTCTGCTTACGTCATCACAAAAATGTATTAAAAATTCCATTGACAAAATATAAACATCTTGTATATATGCAATATATGTATCTACATTTACTGAAAAATATTTCTCATAAATTAAGTTAACTAACAATTTGCAACCAGCGTAGATTCAACATGTTTGGTTAAAATATGACTTACCACCTGTGAAATAATGTCAATATGTATTTATTTAAAGATTTTGTTCTACTGCCATTGTGTAAATCTGCTTCGATCAAACGCCGCCATTGAAATATATACCCCTTGGGTAATTTACTCAAATAAATCTCCCATGTGTAACCAAACTTTGTTTTGTTTCTTGAACAATACTGCATCTCTACACTGTACAATATGTTTTTCACTATATTTACATTGTTCCAGTTCTAATTTTCCACAACAATTTTTGGACAAAAGAACAGACAACATAGAAAACAAACTACAGGGGATAGCATGATATTTGAACCACAATATTGCATCTCATTCAAATGTCTGAAACATTTCTCAGGCTCCTTGCAATGCACTCCTACACTGATAGAGATCTAGATTGTTCCTGATTATTGTAACCGTACAGAAAATCATGTGTTTTGAATTACACAGTATGACCGGGCCAAAACTGTAGCCCAGTGTGACTCCTGTCCACAATGGCTGTGGAGAAAGAGCCAAGGGAAAGCCCTTTCAATACAGAGAGTGCAGTAATACGACCTGGGTGCCTTTCTCCTCACTCATCATTCACTCAGATATTAGCCTGAGAGAGACATTATACAGACAGACAGGTAGGATGACATAATTTCACACTGGTGTCAACAGGTAATTAGTAGATTCAATTAAACTGATGCACATGTAAATAAAGGCCTTCTGTGTTTATGAGATGGCATTACTGTTGTAGGCGTGTGTGAGAGAGAACGATAAACAATGTCTTCATGGGGAAACCTCAGTCAGTGTTTACACATTCTACTGCAGTTCACATCCACTGAGCCTACAAATCAGACATGAGTTGATTGTCCAATAAACAGTTTATTGAGCAACGCAGAGCACAATCAAGTACAATATCCTATATTGTACTATTCCCACCATGTGTAACACCATGTTAAAATAGCCAAACTAATTTACCAATGAGCCAGTATGCGTTTGCTCGCTCCTTCATTTCCAGACATTTATTGAAACAAATTACAAAATAAGTACTTAAGTACTTATTACCAATATGAACAATACATGTCCGTCCATGTATAACAAACGCCGGGACAACGAGATATAAGAAGAGGGCTCTTGGGGATGCCAGTGATTATTTCTACGTCACCTGAATTATAATGTCAAATGCAGGTGCGACCTTGTGGCGCAGGGGAGACAATAGCTTGTGGTCTGCACAGGAGACCCGAGTTCAAGTCCCAGAGAGGGAGGGAGTGTGCTGATGTGTGATTTTATTTCTACATGAATTGTAATGTCAAATACAAGTGTGAATTCCTAGTAAAGTGCAGTTGGCGTCCAGGTGGCGCAATGCAGAGCGCTGCAGGTTGTTGTACTTGCAGGCCGGGTTTCGAGTCCCGGCAAGGGACATCTAAGTCTTTTCCGCTTGTGTATTGTGATGTCAAATACAAGTGCGACTTCCTAGTACATCACAGTGGGCGACCAGGTGGCGCAACGCTGAGCGCTGCAGGTTGTTGGCCCTGCCGCCCAGGGTTCGAGTCCCGGTGAGGGGCACCTTTGTGGTTTCCTCTTGTGTATTGTGATGTCACATACAAGTGCGACTTCCCAGCACATCACATTGGGTGTCCAGGTGGCGCAACGCAGAGTGCTGCAGGTTATCAGATCTGTAGACCAGGGTTTGAGTCCCGGCGAGGGTTTCATATTGTCATCAAATACAACTGTGACTTCAAGCGACGTTCAAGTCCTGCTGATTTCCATGGAAAGGAGTTATTTGAAATTTCTAAGTCAAGTATAATTTCCAACCAAATGTTATCCAGCTTCTTGGTGGTGAACTCTGTAGACTCAGGATTGAGTCCCTGCAAGTATGGCCACCAAGAAGGAAGTACCCAAGCCCTTTTCATATGCATATATGGGAAAGGGGGGGGGGGGAACTCATTCATTAACTACTTAATTAAAGTTCTGGGGGGGAATCATTCATTAACTACTTAATTAAAGACACTTTCATGTCCAACCGCACACAAAAACTTTTCAAGACAGCTTTGGTTATAACACCCCCCCCCCAGCCCCTATGAAGGGGGGGATGGAGGGGTTCTGCTGACATTGAGGCCCTTTTTGGGGGTACCTCGCTCATGGTGGCCGTGTGAGCAGGGACTTGAACCTGAGCCTGCAGAGTGTTCACCAACAGCCCTCACCGCTGCACCACCAAGACGCCAGCTAAGACACGGTCGGAAGTTATACTTGACCTTACAATTCACATGACTTCGCAATAAGAGATATCTATTACGTATTAGACATGCCATGGAAGAGGAAACCACATAAATGTCCCTTGCCAGGACTCGAACCCTGGTCTACAGATTTGATAACCTGCAGCGCTCAGCTTTGCGCCACCTGGACACCAGCCATGAACTGCTGGAAAGTCGCACTTGTATTTGACATTACAATTCAGGTAGAAATAAGACAGTGTTAACCAACAGGAACCAAGGAAATCAGTAGGACATGAGGAGGGGTTCTGCTGACATTGCTGCCCTTTCTGTGGGATCTCCATCTTGGTGGCCATATGTGCAGGGACTCAAACCTGAGCCTACAGAGTGTTCACCAACAGCCCTTACCACAGCACCACCAAGACACCTGTTTAGCTCTGGTCAAGTTTACAATTCACATGACTTTAAAATAGTCGCACTTGTATTTGATCACAATACACAAGAGGAAACCACGTAGATGTCCATTGCCGGGACTCGAACTCTGGCCTGCAGGGACAACAACCTGCAGCGCTCTGCTTTGCGCCACCTGGACACCCATTGCAATATGCTGGAAAGTCGCACTTGTATTTGACATTACAATTCATGTAGAAATAAGAGGCTGAAGCCCCCCCAAAAAACGGCCTAAAACCACCTCTGACAGTCAGACCATCGCCAACAGCACCAAACATTAGCAGACCATTTCTTGGATTTCCATGAATGAGGCTGAGAGCAAGGCCACTAAAAAAGACCAGAGCTGAATAAATAAAACAGAACTTAGGTTTGGCAGTACAGCATCATATAATCATGTTTGGTTATCAGCAGAATAATAATATTTTAGTATTTGAATTAAAAACATTTAAAATGAAATTATTCCCTTACTCTTCAATAGCTGCTGCTAAATTAACAAGATGGCTGCACAAGATTGCCCATGAGTTAGTGGTGTCCTTTTGAGCATATGTGTCAAGTGAATGTAGGATTTCTATGACATTTTCAAACTCAAATTCATCCTACAGTATTTCACCAATCAGTATGAAGGATGTGTCCCTCATCTAAGGGACACATCCTACTGATCCTACTGCAGTTAAACACACATCCTACTGCGGATTAAATCACATCCTACTGATCCTACTGCAGTTAAACACACCTACTGCAGATAAAATCACATCCTACTGATCCTACTACAGTTAAACACACATCATACTGCAGATAAAATCACATCCTACTACAGATCAAATAACATCCTACTGATCCTACTGCAGTTAAACACACATCATACTGCAGATAAAATCACATCCTACTGATCCTACTACAGTTAAACACACATCCTACAGTTAAAATGACATACTACTACAGTGACTGTAGAATAACATGCTTCAGTTACTGCAGCAAAACACTGATAATGGGTCAGATCTAAACACATACTACTGATCCTACCACAGTTAAATACTGATCCTGGGTCAGACCTAAACACATACTCCTGATCCTGGGTCAGACTGCATACAGTGAGAGATAGAGAGAGAGAGAGAGAGAGAGAGAGAGAGAGAGAGAGAGAGAGAGAGAGAGAGAGAGAGAGAGAGAGAGAGGAGGCCTTCCACCATGCAGGTACTTCCTCCCAGGGCCGTGCTAAGAGGGGCTCTTCACAGAGGTCCCATTGTGTCCTGGGGCCCCGTAGACCCCCACCACCACCACAACCCCCCCCCCCCCCCCCCCACCACCAGACATGAAAGGAGCACATGCCAGAGTTTCACCTCAGGAAAAGACAGACAAATATTTCAGGCCTATAGGACTGCACTCTTCGTGAAAAAACAAATATGTTAAAATAATGGATACTCTTGTAGGGGATAAAAATATATTTTGATATTGGTTGGGGGTCTGTGTGTATGCGCGCACGTGTGTGTGTGTGTGTGTGTGTGCATGCGTCCGTGCATGTGTGTGTGCGTATGGAGAGTGGGTGTGTGGAGGTGGCTAAGCGGGGTGCACTGCAACACGTCAAAGTGACCAAAAGCGATCGTCTCCACCGGGCTCCTTCTCAGTGCCTACCTTCACACGTAACAGGACGGGGCAGTCGGGTCTGCTGAGTGCTGCTCACAGACCTTACACACACACACACACACACACACACACACACACACACACACACACACATACACACCTGAGCCCAGCTCACACCTTCACACACACACAACACACGCCCTCCCACCCTTCTTCAGGGCACCCGGCGCGACCTCTCGCTATTGGCCAGGTCCCGAGCCTCAGCATCCCCATCACAGCTGGTGGGACCATTCGGGAGAGCAGGAGACAGAGGTAAGTGTGCAGCCGGTAATATCTTCTTCATGCCGTGGTAGAGATTAGGCGATTAGGCGTTTTTAAAGGTTTTTTAGTCTCTCCGAAGCTGACCAGCTGTGTGTTTGAGTGGAGAGAATGAAGTTCTGCTAGCTAATTGGTGGATGGTAGCCACGGCTAATTGAAAAATTGTGTTGGTTATTTTATTTCCGGGAGATTCTGTTTTTTTTTTGCTGTTTTGGTTGTTTTGTTGTTGCTTTATGTGTTTATTGAATGGTTAGTCCGACGATCGCCCATATGTGCTGAGCTGTGTGTGTTTCTGAGGAGTTTAGAGGTCTAACAGGTGATATTTTGCAACAGTGGCACACGTGACACTGTGTCACAGCGAGTTGGACCGTCTTCGCTGTATTGGTATCGATGTAGATCTGCAGGGTTATGGGTCACTTTGAATAATGCTCGCATTGCTTGCGTCGCATATCCTGCATTATGGAATCCATAAGTGGCGTGTTTGAGTTGTGGTCCATAATTAAGGAGAAGTACGTTTCCGCGTTAAGGAGATCCACTTTCATCGTCAAAAAGCTTCTCTGAGATTATGTCGATATTATAATGTAATATTCACTGCCTGATGGTTTCCAGTATAGCTGAGAACGTAATTATGTGATTAATGTGACTACAATTGGCACAGATATGTTTAAAATTAAACTCTGGTGACCTGGTGATCTTGTCATTTTCTTGGCATATATATACATATACTGTATATGTATATGTATATATATATATATATATATATATATATATATATATATATATTGTGAAACTACAAGCACTGAGGGGAAATCGGTGAAGTTTTCTTGTGGCTTTAAAGGGAAAAGAGTAGAGAATCAGTGGCTATCAGGAATGCCCCCCGGCCACAGAGCCAAGCATAACAGAGCGAGTCTGTAGGCTCCGCTCTTTACACACATACACAGTTTCCACACACTGTACGCAGTGATGGCCCATATAAAGGCACACCTCTGTCTCTAGCATAGTCCGTCTTTCAGCGACGCCACGCTGACCTCCGTGGGTCCACGGTGTTATATTGGAGCAAGAGAGAGAGAGAGAGAGAGAAAAAAAATATGTAAAGGAAGTTAAAAAAAAAATAATAAAAAAATAATTTCAGCATGGGGTGCGGAGCGGTCTTATGAACTCTGTGCACTCCGGGCCATTCACAGAAACAGGACTCTGTGTCGGTGTGTGTGTCTGTGTGTGTGTGTGTGTGTGCACTGCTCATCTGGTTGGCCGACCATCTCTGGTCTGATTGGTCTGAGGGGATTCTTGATTGAAAAAGAAAATGAGAGAAGGTTTTGTATCTCACAGCTGTCGTCCTACCAAAAATAGCACCAGAGGTTTCTCCGCTTTCTCTCTCTGAAAGATAGGTGTGTTGGAAGAGAGTTTTCCTTTTTTCTTTTTGCATGCGGCTGTGAGTGTGTGTGGGTGCGTGTGTGTGTGTATGTGAGAGAGAGAGCACACTTGTTAGTGTGTGCAGGTGTGTGTGTGTATGTGTGTGCGCATGTGTGATTTTGTGTGTGTGTGCATGCATGTGCGTGTATGTGTGTGTGTGTGTGTGTGTGTGCGTGTGTGTGTGTGTGCATGTGTGTGTGTGTCTTTGAGCACCCTCAGAGCTGAATGAAGCGTTTCCTTGCCACACCAACTCACTGCCATCCTGTCCACAAACCTGGAATTTTGAGCCTGAGTGCCGAGACAGGCAGCGACCCGGCACTCATAAAGGACCTCTGTACAGGGGAGAGGGGTCGAGTCGGCCCTGAAACCTCTCTCTCCCCCCCTCTCTCTCTCTCTCTCTCTCTCTCGATCACTGTCTCCCTGTCAGTCTCTTTCTTACTCCCTCTCCATCTAACCCTGAGGGCCAACTGCTTGTCCATTTCCTCCCTGCACCTCTGTCTTTTTCTTCTCCTTCTCCTCTCTCTCTCTCTCTCTCTCTCCCTCTCTCCCTCTGTCTCTCAGTACCCTTGCTCTCCATTTCTCTGCCCCAGCCCAAAGGACTTTCACTGAAACCTCTCTGACTCTCTCTAGTCCAGAACCAAAATCAGCATGATCCAATTGCAGCCCTGTGCTCAGATGTTGTTAGTTATGCTGTAAGCAAAAACATTTCCCCCAAAGATAGATGATCAGATGCTTTATATTAATAATGTCATTTTGGAGGTTCTGCCAGGTTCTTCATGAAAACATGAGAAACTGATTGTATCTCACTGGGGTTATCACAACTGGATCTAATCAACCTGTTACTGATTTGTGTGTTGGATCACTAGACCGAGAATGAGGCTTTGGCACTATAAACTGCAATAATGTTGAACAGGACACTCATAATATCCATTGTCATGTTAGATTAAACATGGAAAAGTCATTAGTTGTCGTTAAAAATTTAATTACCAATAAAGTCTAATACATGCAGCCAGGATTTCTGGTTCTCCAAAATCCCCCCTTCAAAAAATGAAAGAGTGGGTTTTGTCAAGGGTCCAAATTTTGTCAAGGGTCTAACCAAGCAAGTCACAAGAAAACACACCGAGAATACAAGTTTTCCTAAAGGTGTGTCTCCTACATATAGGAGACACATGGAGTTCATCCACGTTGACATTTGACACACCACAGATGGACATTGATTTAAGCCAAGATGGCAGCTGAGCCCCGTAGTTGCAGCAAGGCAGGTTGGTCTTCCATTGGCCGTATTCACCTATAGCGACCATCTTGGTTCTCAACCCTAGCCGGGACCCAGCTTGCGTTAAGAACCATGATGGAACCAAGATGGAACTAAGATGGCCACTATAGGTGAATAAGGCCCATTGACTCACAGGAAGCTGTCTCCACCTCACTGAACCGAGCTATTTATTCCCAGATCGCAGCGGTACCAGCAAAGATTTATCGAAGTGACTTGACATGGAAAAGAGATAATTGATAGAGATATGATTCAAGCATTGTGACTTGTGGTATAGTCTAGAGACGCCACTACTTTAGTGTAAGAATAATGGGTAGTCTGACTAGTGGTTAGCCTAATGATGGGTGGACTCAGTGAGCCCTCAAAAATAAATGACATTTGAAGCTCTGTCTGGAGTGAAATCTTTGCAACACAAACCATTTACTTTGAACTGCTAATATTTTTTGTCCCTTTCGAGGTGGGCCATGAAGATGCTTGTCCGGTTCCTTTTGGCACTCCTCGTCGTCAAAGCGGCAGTGGCCAGCCCCAGATTTTCCCGACAAGCGGAACTGGACACGTAC